AAGATTATGTGGCCTTTAGTATGGTCGCGGTATCCTTTCGTTCTATAGAAGTTGTTTGACTTTGTTTCAGCAGCTTGGTCATATTGGCAGGAAATCCTAGAGGAGCGCACCTTTTCCATAGTATGTATGCGAATTTCCAGGGGCCGGCGGTGGACTTTCTACATTTCCAGACGTTTCGCAGGCATTTTCAGTGTGTTCTGTCATTCTTAACACTAGACAACTCGAAAAATACAAGTAAAGTCATTCCTTTGACCAATTGGCTGAGTTTTGGTATCTTTCTTTCTAAAACGGCGTATTCAACTATCCTATATTTTTCTAACATCTCTTCATTAATACAATTTCTTGCATAGTTAAATCTGATTATGCTGTGCCTTTTTGACCGGATTTATTGAGACCTATTTACAACTCCCGCTGTTAAACACGTCCCTCCGACTCTGCCTAGAATGTTGAGCCTCTTCTCCCTACAGGTCATATCAGAGTCTCTCTTTTATTCCATGATTAAGCCTTTACTTCCTGGACCACGTTTATGGACAAACTCGACTAGAATTAGCCAGCTATCCATGTTCCTAATCTCATCTCTCGCTCTTTTATAAATACTGTCAAGTCTATGACTTTCCTATGCCCTAATCTCTTGTGTTCCGAATCACAAATGCTATAGTTGCTTAACTTTGATTAGGCTCACTGTGGATATCTCTTCTTGGTTTCCGAGTGTTCCTCTGTGGTCTCCTTGACCTTTCGAAATTGTTGCTAACGCTATGGTATCGGACATCGTAAATGAATTCCTTTAAAATGTTTCTATTCAAAAAATAAAAGTAGGCTACAAGATAAAGAGGTGTAAGCTGTGCGAGCTCGTAGATAGTAAGTTTTGATTTAGGAAGGATTTAGGTAGGGTCCTCACTCTGGATGATCTTAAAAACCTTCAGATTATGACTGACCAGAATTCACAGAGGCTCGGGTAGTACAGGATTCAGACAAGCAGACCAAATAATGTTACTCAGATATTTACGGCATCCACTGCTTCTAGGGACGATGGTAACAGGGTAGTAAACTTATCCTCATTCTCTCTTTATTCCGAAACGATGGATCTCCTGAAGAAGGGGCTGAAATTTTTTACTAGGTAACGAAGGGAATATTTTGGAAAATATTCTTGTAGAGGTCGTAAACAAGTCGGAGAAATACCCAGAAAGCACCAAACAGGAGATGAAAATGGAAATATTTCCGAGAATCCTGGCACAAAAGGAGCCAATAATCAGGAGAAGATTGATGAAGATGCGCATAAAGTTACAAAGGAATGATCAAATAGTTATTTTGGCAGGCACTGGAGGACCGATGGTGGTAATGGACAGGTCACAGTACACGGATAAAATGAAAATCAGCCTAGGAAACCGGAACACTTAGCAAATACTAAGAAAGGATAGAACAGGGAAGATCGACAGAATAATAAAGAATATGCTAAAGGGGATGCATAAAAATGGAAAATTGACAGATGGGTTGTAAATTCATTAGTAAAAATGACACTAGAAGACATGCAGACTAAGAGCTATCGAAGATAAACAAGAAAGAATAACTACTAAGGTTAATAATTAACAAAAAAATTTAGCAACACATAACCTAGCAAACGTTATATGCTTGAGGCAGAAGAAGGTAAACGGATAGCCCTTTAACACAATGAAAAATGCATTAATTTTCTCATAGGATCAAAAACATTGGAATGAGAGGGATGGAAATATTGGTTAGTCGTGATGTACAATCCATGTACACAAACATCTGAGTCGAGAAAACAGTCAACGCAATACCGGAGACCTTAAAATATAAGGAGGATATCCTGGAAACAGGTCAGATACGGAAAAAGACGTTGGCACGATTAATAAACCACAAATTGTACATCCACCGACAATGTCCATGAGAAAATATTAGGACTAACAATGGGATATCCACTCTCATATCTCTTGCTTAAAATTCATGTTGCTATTTTTGTTGCAAGATTCATGAAATAAGTACTTTATTTGCTTTGAGGCCAAATAAATTAAGCTATGTCATTTAATTTTAAATGGTTAAAAGATGAGTAGGCCGTGAATTAAATAAAAAAGAGTCATTCTAGATCAAAAGTTAGAGCTAAGTTAAATTAACTGGCTTTAATAAGCCCATTCAGTTAATTCGGAAAAATTCATATATTGCTCCCAATGCTAATTTTGATATAGACAATTAATGTGATGTGAAGCTAAATCAAATCAATTTAATCTAGATCAAAAAATAATAAGAAGGCTCTTATTAGAAGAATTATACATAAAATTAGAAAATTAGATGTTATCTATTTATCACTGAGACATAAAAAGTAAATCGGGGATAAAGCAAACATAAGTACAAATAATAAGAAATGTGAAGAGCTTTAACTTTCCGTAATCAAGAAAGGCAAGTAAATCGAGATCAGAGAAATTGACATAAGAACCAAAGATCTTTCTGCCTGGTCCAGCGCTTAGTTAGGAGAGCCAAATATCTACTAATCGATTAATAATCACATAATACTAAAAATTTTGAGGTCTGACTCAAAATCTTTTATCGCCAAATTTTTTCAACATTGAATGAATGAGCTCGAGCATATTGATGAAAAATCAAAAACTTCAAAGTAAACCTTGGACTGACAGGAGGACATACAATTGGCTTATGACAGGCCCAGTTAGAATAAGGCAAAACATGCGTACAGACCTCGAGCTTTGAAGGATTCACTTAGAAATTTACATCTCATTATCGTTTCAGTTCTGTGTATCTGAAAATATAGGAAATTCAATACAGTAAATATCATAAATTTTAGTCCGTAGACCAATAGTAAAGGTATAAAATTCTTACTTTCCCTTCAGCTGGAGGCATAATTTGAGCAGCATCATATGAAAGCTCACTTTCACGAGGAATTAGGGCGGGTTCGACTAGGTCCTGAGTGAAAGAGACCCCATTCTCTATTTTTGCTTTGTTCACCTCTAGAACATTATTGACGGATGCGGACCCCAATGACACTGCCGACGAAGCTGATACCACTGATGTTATTGACCAGGGGTGCTGAGATAAAGGCAGAGAACAGCGCTGTCCGGATAAATGTGATAAATCTGATGGAGGATCACATGGTCGCTGACCTGGTAAAGAGGGTTCTAACGTTGATTGCACTTTGCAGCCTATCGCTGAAGCCATATCAAAGCCATTGCCTAGCTTGTCGCCCGCAGATCTGGCTCGTCGACAGGATTGAGCGCGTCTAAGCAATTGCGTAGCATTTACTTGCTTTTCTGAAGCACCAGGAGCAACAGTTGCAGATAGAAGCGGATCAGATGTGGGGTTGGAACGATCTACAATCTCGGGTTCTTGAGTCGGAAAAAGGGAGTTGACAACCAAACCGGATGGAGACAGCATTCCCTCCAGGTTAGGTAGAGGAATGCATTCGCCAGTAACAAAACAGTGAGGGGATTTGCTTTAAAGTTATTAAATGAAAATTATATTTAGCATATGATGGTGTCCAGTACAACATAAAATCCATAAAAAACAATGAATCTTTATATAAGAAATTGATAACCCCAGTTAGCTTAATGTGGTATAAGGACTGATAAAAAAATAAAACGGGTAAAACTCGTGATAGACTTTTGCCTAAAATGTATAATGATCATAATGGCGACAGGCCATCACTCTACCACGCATCCAATGGTGCAAGTTGGTCACAGAGGATACGTGGCTCTTAAGGCAAGTCATGATTCTCCCAATTCAATTGTTGAACTGGCATCGATAAAGCAAAATTGCAGTTCAATTGAAATCAAAGATATCAACATATGAGAAATATTTATCTTTGGTTTACTGCATAAAGCTTGAAGAACTATAGCTGTTGGATACAAAGTAAGAATCGGAGTCATAAGTTTTGTCTGTATTCACAAACTTATCAAGTTTGAGACAGTAATACGTTCGTGAAGACAATAAAACAATGGGCCAAGTCCGTTTAAACGGTATCACTAAAACATGATAACAGGCGAAAACCAATAATCGTTCTAGTAGGAGCTAATGTGGTATAAAATATCCTTTCAGCAATTTCATATGAAAAAAATACCTCACTAGCTTAATCAGCTATATTAGGATTACATTAAGTATAATGAAATATACAAACAGAAGGACAGCTAATTCAGAAAAATGAAACATTACTAAAATAGATAATTTTCTGGGTAATTAAATTTAATAAGAAGTTTTCATATAAAACAGGAGAATGTAAGGATTATATTTATTTTGTGCAGATAAAAGTAAAAACCAACGTAAAATATTGATATATACCAATTTATCGTATTAAATAATATACCATTTATGTTCTAATAAAGAAATATTATTTGATTAATACTTATTCGGAGAAATTAAGGCAATAGAAGTCTGTCAGTTAAAGCGAGTCAATTAAACAAAATTAAAATTCATTTGATGGGTTTTTTTATGTCCCTAAAGCATTCCAAAACACTCAATCTGCTAAGGATAGCCAATATGATTTGGCCATATTTCATATGATTAACTAGAATATTTGAAAAACTGGACTTCAGAAGATTTTTCATTGGATCTGATATTTCATATGACAGGTCTGATTGAAGAGCTACGAAGATTGGCCTCATCAGTGTTAAAGAATATTGGAGTTGTGACTTAATTTGCGAATAAATCCTTGGCACACCATCTAGTGAGCCCAAAGAATTTGTGCTGAATTTCATCCAACCATATGAAAGATTACA